CTCACGCCCTCAAGGTGTCGTTCACCCTAACACAACAGAGAGCCCGCTCGCGAGTCAAGGCAACTCTCACCGCGGCTTTTCAGCCCTAGTCTGATGGCAACTCTCCCCGACAAAAATACCATCAAAGAGCCCAGACGACTTACGCCGCTGGCCCACCTCCTATCATTTGCTTACGGATCCGAAGCCCACGCCGTAAGCTTATCGGGTGCATTCGCGTTGGGGGCCATGTACGGCCATGGAACCCACAAAGCCCCATAGCGTCCTCCCTTGCTAGCCCCCATCCTCCACCATCATGTCCATGCCCGATTGAGCATCGCGGGGTACCCTACTTAAGATGATTGTTTGCGTCCCGAGTCATCAATCCGGCATAGTGTAATGGTTAACATACTCCGCTTTCATCAGTTCGCATCTGAAGATCCGGAGAGCTCCGAGTTCGATTCTCGGTGTCGGAACACGCATTTCTTTTTGCAATCTTTTCGCATTGTCATTGAAATCATCAGTTTCAAGGGTGGTTAGTCGAGCGCTTTCCATGCTTTTGAAGACCAGCACGGGTGGAGTGCCAACACATGTGGTTTGATGTATCCGAGTGTCCTCTGATGATCAGTGCTTTGAGAAGTGAGTTGATGAAGGATGATGGGTTTGGTGTTGATGATTTCGCCAATCTCCATTATGGCCATTGATCATAACTGAAGCAGAAGGGAAGAAGCTCCTAATGATCGAGGTCTTGACACCGAACCAATCCATGTAATTTCGTAAGTTGATCCATAACAACATCCCTAGGAAAATGCAAGATCGTGAGTGTAAGCGCGTATTTCCCCGCCTGTATTTTGTCTCGAGGTATTGAAGAAGGCTGAATAAACTACAGCTAATTGCATTCTTCCGAGAAATTACCTGTTGTGGGGACTTCGCGAGACCGACTTGCTCTTTTTTTTCCGTGACTTGTCCTGTCGCGTTTGTATCTCAAGGTTCGATACTATGGTCATAGAATAGAGAACTTGCCGCTGTGCCTCTCAGAAGCCTAGCGCAGCTGCAAACCCAGAACGGGGTGATCCAAGGGCTTTCGCTAGTAATTTCAATAGCTTGTACTGTTTTTCGGACAGCTCACCGACCAAAAGATCAACTAGCCCACTCCCGCTCTCCATCATGACATGCTTCTCAGCCAAACCACCCTATGACAAAACATGTTCCGCCATGGACACCATCAAAAATTGAAAGCTCCAAAATACGGATGGTAGACTACACACACACACACACACACAAACACAGAAGGAGGAGGCATATTTAGACTCAAAGCTTACCAGCCGCGTGTGATTCAGCCACCGAAAGATATCATGTAAGCTTCATCTGAACGCTTCCTACCGCGCTTGGTAGATATCGTTGGTTTGGTGGTCGTGTCGGGGGGTGCAACCGGAGCACCGAATGGCATGCCTGAGTACAGTCTACGCCTTCCTGTGCCTCGAGATATCAAAAGCAACGCGGTCCAGCTTTGGGCGTAAGTTTGCAGAGGCGAGGCTCTCACCGAAACCACGTTAGAGACTATCCAGCGAGGCGGCGTAGACCGGATGAGCGGCATCCGCCATGCGAGTCCGAGCAGACGGTGGGATAGCAGGTTCGCTTTGGGGAGGTCGAGCCTCGTCTATTCCATAACGTACCCAGTATCTCATAGATACGATCCGGCCGCACTTCGCCGAACGCACCCACGGCTACGTTGAGTTCCGTAGGTCTAGTGACTTTCTGCTCTAGAAGTGATGTTCGCGACCGCTACACCTTGGGTATAAGAGGGCGCTTGTTATATAGCTCAGTTCAAGGCATGAACTGCATGCTTGGTATTATATCTGAGGGCATGAACTTGGCGGCATGTCGCTGAGCTGTGGATCCCCACCGGAACAAGCTCCGGGCAAGCTTGGGTCATGGCAGAGGGGAAAAGAGACCTCCGGGCAAACCTCGTGAGCTGAGGGGAACGGACGCAGCACATGCGAGGATTGCTATTATCGTCAGTAAGGTAAAGCTCAGGGTCCAAGTGCCTGCCCACCGGTTATCTAGACTGCGTTGCAAAACGAGCATCCTAGAGGGTCCAGTGCGCACAGAGAGTTGCGCTGATGTTCAACCCAGGTTAATTAGCGTGTAAGCCAGCCGCGTATTTCGGGGCTGTTCTGGGGACTTTCAAGATTATCTCCGGCAGTAAATGCCAACTTCGATGATGCCCATATTCTTCGGTTCTCTACATTGAACAATGGCCTTGGGCTACGTACTCTATCGGGGACATCAAAGGGACCGTCCAAATATACCGCAGTAGTGTGCAGAGCTATTAAGCGACGCCAACTCGCGGTTGAGCATTGGAGGTATACCAGACCACCGATATGGGCTTCAGAAGATCAGCATCCAAAATACCATGGACCCTGAACCTGGCTGTCACACCACCTGAGCGACAGGTCGAAACACCAGATCCAGAGTTACACCAGGAACATCCATCAGATCGAGGAACCGGTCAGGCCACTGGTCCACTGAGGGGAGTCACATCGTTAGGTCGCAAGAACACGTCAAAGCCAGACGCGTATATTAGCCGCGGAGTTAATATTTGGAGATGGCGAGGGGCAGAAGATTGCGGTTTTCCATGACGTAAAAGCCGTTCCTGATAGTCTGAGGCAATGGACGTAGGGCGGCTTGGGCTATGCGGACGGGGCGGGAGTCGGAAGTGTCGGATGTTGGTTTCTGGGAGCGAGAGAGTTGTAGTCCGGTGGCGGGCATCCGAGTGAGTTTGGACGGATAGCGGGTATCGCGACATGGAGGTTGACTCTGGGCCGTTGTTTCGTCCGTGATGGCTGTACCTGAGCGGCCTGCGCAGGTCTTGGGAGGAGGTAGGTAGAATGCTGGAACCGGCTCCGAAGACTGAGGAGGAAGACTGATTGGCTAGGCGGTGGTTCAGCAAGACGGGGGCTCGATCTCGATCGAACAGTGGTTTATCGGGCGTCGAACTCCCAGAGTGTCATCGGACGGTGGATTCGATTAGTGACGTGCATGGACGAGGGTGACAAGAGACCGGGCAGGGCGGTTTGTTGTTGGCGGTAACGTTGGCCAAAGCCAGGGTTAGGGTCCCAACATCGTGAGTGAGCCGGGTGTCATGTCATCCAGGCCATGGGGCAGAAATAAGAAATGAAGGCCAAAAAATGAGAGACGAAGAAGCTCGGGTAGAAGCCAGGCCCTCAAGTTGGTGGTATGCGAGTCAGAGAACGTGGAGAGCGCGGGATGACATACGACGTGGCAGGTTTGGATTTCTTGCATGCCGGTAAGGGAGACTGGGGTATTCCTTCCTGGACGGCCGAAGATGCAGGCTCTCCCATTCTTTTGGTTTCGGTCGTTGCGGCGCCGCGTCCTATCACAACGGGCCTTCCGCCTGCAGGCGCAGCAGCATGCTTTTGGCCACAGCCACCCGATGCTGATCCCCCTCGCCATACTTGGTGCTGAATGCTGCTGTAAAAGGATAACTGCAGCTGTTCAAGCCACCTTTCCTTAGCTGAGGCGATTCGATGTGGGAAACCAACCGCGGAAGGCACCGCCCTGCTTGAATGAAAGTGAGGCAGGCAGCACCCACAGCATTAGTGGCACCTGCCGGTCTGGCCAGCCCACCAGCACCGGGCAAAGACAAGGAAGGCAGGCCGTGTTGGCGGCGATGGAAGGCGTAGAACGAACTATGAAGCAAGGGACCGACGACAAAAAAACGAGGAACAGCGAGACCTGCTGCAGCAGCAACGCGACGTGGAACCGCAACTGCACCTGGCGATTGCGACTGCTACTGCTACTGCAGCCCTGCTGAGAAAATTTGACAGGACGGGCAGGACAGACTAAGTGCCATTGCACCAAGAACCTAGGTGCACTAATAAGAGCCTGGAAACGTTCAATGGGCGGTGCAGCATTCGGGTTCTAAACTGGCCCCGTTCAGTCCCTTCCTCTTCCGTACGAATACCGTGCCGTGCCTGCCTTACCTGTCCACCCACCACTATCATCACCACCACCACTACCACAACTACCTCAACGACGCCTGTCCACGTCCCGCATTCGCCCAAACCCAAACACCCGCCCAAGAGACCCGCCGCCCGAGCTCACTCCTTCATCTCATGCCGTTGCGACACGTGAACGACCACCTTGGATTGAGGTGAGCGCCATCACTGGTTCATATTTCTCAACTCAACCTTACGACCTTACTGAGCACTCTGTTGCGTACGGGCCACTGCATTTCTGTTCTGCAGCAGTCAACGGTTACGGTTACGGCTACGATTACTCCAGCCCGTCCCACGGCCCTTACCCCAACTCTACCTGACCTTCCCTTGTCATTCTCGACTTTGAGATGCATCTCTGATTTTCGGACAACTCACGGACGTTCACACACAGACACCCGTTTCTCATCCCTCCGACGACAACGGCTGGGCTTGATTGATCCATCCTCGCCGTCACTAATAAACAACCACCGCCTCGGAATCCCAAAAAATGCGTCAATCGCTGCCTTGAGCCCCCATATCCTTATCGACCGTCCCGACATCCATTTCTGTCAGACACGAGCTGATGCCGGGCGGCTTGCTCTGTCTGCGACAGGCGCATTCCCCGTGACACACTTGTTGCGCAGCCACGCGACTGACGAATTCATTTACGCTCGCCCTCGCCCGGACCTCATCGCATTCCCAAATTTTGTTCTTCTTTCGCATCGTAATCTTTACCTAGGCCCCCTTATCGGGTTCCTCAATCCTAATTCATCAATGAGACATGGCCGACGTCAAGGAGGGGAGGGACCGAGAAAGCCGACCCGAGAAGAAAAGTTTCTGGGGTAGCATCTTCAGGAACAGGAGCCTCGCGAGGAAGGGAGCACTGGTGCGCTCGCAACCGTCGCGTTCATCGCGCGCTTCACTCCCGCGTTTGTTGGGCTGACTTTATCACAGGATAACCCCGAATCGCGCAGGGCGAGTGATGGAGATGTCATTCCACGGAGGCGTCGGTCGTTACCCGACATGTCCGGCGGCACTAGAACTGTCGAGTCTCCAAACGGCCATCCACCGCAGCCCAGCTCTCGTCGCAGGCCAAAGAGACCTGATCCGGCGCGAGCCAAGGGCAAAGGCCGCGCCCATCCAAACGGCAATATTTTTGAACAGGGACCACTGACTGAATGGCCACCGTCCGGCATGTCAAGTAATGAAGAGCTCACTCTCGGTGATGCTGTCGCCCTCGTATCGCGAGGTGTGCCTGCTCACAAGGGACACAAGCGCCCTGTTCCTCACGCTTCAGATCATTACTACGCTCTCTTTACGACGTCTTCCAACGGAGACCCAACCGAGGAATCCGATGTGGTCAACTTACACGACTCCATGACCCAACTCATGACTCTCCGTATGCAGGGTCCTGGTCTCGCCGATTACCCTTGGGAGACATTGGAACAACCCAGTTATGCCTTCTTTCACGGTCAACGCCCTGGCACCATTACCCTTAACCAATGGGCTGCCATGTCGAGCATACTGCCACCGAGGATTGCCTTGAGAGATTCCGGGGTGACGCCTCGGGAGGTCGACTTGGGCCACATATTCAGGCGTCTGAAAGAGCTCGAGTCCGGCCTTGAGGATGACGACGAAGAATTCATGTACAGAAGTCTATACCGCCGCTTTCTTCGCGATCCCGACAAGCTGCTGAGTCCGCACAAGACGCTTGACAAGCAGATTACTGATCTGATCATGGTTTTAACACGGCCGGATTGGATTGACTTTACAAACCCCAAAAACCAAGTCGTCACGCGGTTTATCTTCGACCCAAGTCACTCCAGCCAGGCTCAGTACCTCAAGTTCTGCCAGCAACTCCTGCTCAGCATGGAGCTTGACCTCCGCATCAACTCGAGTCTTCATGCTGACTCGGCAAAAGACAAGTTGGTACTGCAACTTCCACCTACCATTCAATGGAATCTCGCACTTGCGAGACGTTGGCGGGAGCACGTTAGGGTCGAGAGCTATGGGAAGACGGTCGATCAGAGTAAGTCAATGAGCGCAGCACTTTGACGGCATACGCTCACGATGTCGCAGTAAGCCTCCGCTTCAGATTGAAGAAGCGGCAGATCAAGATGCTTCGACGATTCGCTCAGATGATGAAGTGGCCAAACCTTGGCCAAACCCTGGACAGCATGAAGCAGCGGGACATCGAGGCGAGTCTCGACATCATCAGCTCTGATGCATTGGCCTTCTTCAGCGGGCTTGTGCTGCCAGGTGTAAGTCTCCCATTTCCCACGTCATCGCGCTTGAGCTAACCTTCGACCAGCCAACATTCCCGTTTCTGATTATGAATACCCTGATCGACATCGATCCTGACAAGGCTACCGATTCGCTTGCCCTCCTCACACATCTCCATCCTCACTGTGGATTTCAGTACAGGAACAGTTACACGTACTGGACTGCTTCATCCATTGTTGGCAAGGTCCTTGCTCCCACTTGCAGGTCTTTGGCTGGCTGGGTTGGGCCCGCTCGACCAACGGCAGACCTCGGCCGTTCTCAGATCGCGAGAGTGCGGTCGCGCCGACCCCGTCAACGAATGACGCCTGAAGATGTCCAGTCCATGAGCGAGCGATCCGACCCTCTTGGCCCTCCGGCTGAGGTGTTCCCCGTCAAGGAGTACAAACTTGTGGGGCCGGATGCCGACGACATTGTCGACACGGTGCGCATTGAGCTCCTCAGCTTCAAAGCTATCCCAGACCGATTCCAGGAACCACCGCCTGCGCCGAAGGTGTATGATGCCACGATCCAATTCGCTGTTGATGGGGTTTCGTGGCCAATGCGTCTTACCTACGACGTGTCCTTCATTTCGGCATGGCCTTGTTCAGACGGGCCGCACCCATTGTTTTTCGACTACGTCTACCAAACTGTACGGGCGGACGACATCATGAGCATCAAAGACTGGGGTGGGTTATACGGACAGTCTCAAAGTGCGCGCAGCTCCCGGACCAGTTCTAATCCGGGCCCTCATACAGCTTCAAGCCAGGAACAGATTGATGAGGAGCAAGTCTTGGTTGTGGAAGCATTCGGGGTAAGGGATAACGAGGTATTGGCCAGAGCTTGGTGTTCCCACTGGGGCCTCAGCGCCATCGTTGCTGATCTTCGCAAGACTTGGTTAGTTCTACTTGCCGTCCCATATTCTTTGTTTGAACGAGGGAAAGCTGACCTTTGAACAGTATGGCTTGCGCCATTCGAGAGGCGTATGCAGCAACTTTGACGGTTGTGATTCTGGTCGACAGTCGAGAATACAACGACGACGATTAATGACAATTGATGAGCCACGTTTGTTATAATGGCGACCCGGCAGGATAGAAGGGAAAAGTCGAGGGATAATCTGGCCGTCATTGATTAAAGCTTTCTTTCAAGTTTCAAGATACCACTGCGAGTATACTTTACGAGGGCGCCAACTTCATAGTGGGACGCCGGGATGACGTCGAGGAAGGAGGATGTATTTTGCATGAGGGCTGGCTGGCAGCTCTGGCGCGTTTCTGCGAATTACGAAATACCCCGTGGCAGAATGCATTCTTGGGCGTTTCGTCATGAATGCGGGAGAGGTACCTTGCTCTCCCTATGAATACACTATTACCGGATAGTCTTTGCGTATGATTCTCTCTGCCATTCTTCTTCATTCACTTGGTCTCTCTAAGAATAAGCTTGAAGGCTTCCAAGCTTTGCTCCCAAAGTGCTGATCCCTCGCCGGCAGCCCAAGCCGTCACCTTCTCCACGCCCTCCAAGTCACCCTTCATCCGAGATTCGTTCGTTGTGCCGTCCAGAACACTTACGCCTCCTAAGCCTAGCACGAGTCCGTACATGGCGACCTCGTTGCTCACCCCCACCGCTGCAGCAATCCCCCCCACCAGTTCACTCTTGACAATACCTGGATTCGCCGTCAAGGTCCAGAAAGACTGAAAATTGATACCGCGCTCGCGGCAAAAGACGCGCACGGGGGTGTTGTAGGCCTCCTTTGGGTTCAGGCGATTCTGGACGACGACGGGCTTGACGGCGGCATCTTTGCAGAGGGCCTGCAGCTCTTCCAGGTCGACGTTGGATATGCCGATGGTGCGGATGCGATGGGGCACGTAGGACTCCAGGGCACGCCAGGCGAGGAGGGTGTCCTCATGTTCTCGGAATGGCGAGTGTAGCAGCACGCAGTCTAGGTAGAATTCGTCCTCCGCCGTGGCGGGCTCTTTGGCTGCGTCTGCCGACTCGGCTACCGTCTCCTTGAAAAGAGACCTGGAAACAGACAGGCGCTTGAATGAGGTGGCGACTTGCTCGTGGACCTGGTCCGGGATGGGAAGCTCGGACGGGGCCGGAGAGAACTTGGTCTGGAGGTAGAGGGATGAACGGGGGATGGTCTTTGGGTTCTGGGTAAGCCAGGTGCGCAGGCCGGCGCCGACGCCCTCTTCGTAGTAGTGGTGGGACGCCGCCGTGTCGAGGCCGCGGAAGCCGGCCGAGAGGGCGGAGACCACGAGAGGGGCCGTCTGGGCCTTCTTCCAGGCCGTGCCGTAGATTAAGCGGGGAATCGGAGCGACGGTGTTTGATGCCATGGTAGTCAATAACGCCGGTGAGTCAGGCGGTGAAGAACGACAGCTGTTGCTTGGCAAATTGACTGGGGAAAGGGAGATTACGCCGTGTTGTTACACCTTGGTGAGTGGTTGGCTTGCTTGAGGAGATGCAATCAAGCAATGGGGCTCAAGCGGCGTGGGTCACGGTCGGTTCGCAAGGCATGAAACCCTTGCCTTCCAAAAAATGCAAGACTGTCGTTGAGATATGTAGCAGCCGGGCTTCTAGAAGTTCGATATCGCAGGAATAGCCTCATGCAAACGGCCGACACTCCGCGGTGTTAGTTTCGGCACGCCCATTCCCGCCAACGCGCGGGATTAATACCCCGCCGGAGCTCGTTTATGACGTCTTATCAGTGGCCGATAAGAGATGGAAGACCCCGCCGCGGGGTAAGTCCCGACTTTCCCCCGTGCGAAACCCCCAAGCTCTCTGAGAGCTCTCGCTCAGTAAACCCCTAGCTGGCCCAAAGGGGAAAGTCTAGGAGTTGAACCTGTACATTTCTAACGTCTCATAGTGGGAATCCTCGTCACCCAAGGCGCGTATCTAGGGCGTCATCCATGATGTTTCGAGACTCGGGGTTTGCACAGGTCCAATTTCTAAGCATCACCCGCCGAGCAATTTAGCCGGTGCTTGGGCGGGACTGGCGGAAACTCCGCCCGCTGGACTTGAGCATCGTCGCTTGCTGCCATGTTCTAGTACCTAGATATTTCCAGAGGCAGGTAGTTTCGTGTTCAAGAAGGTACCCATGTTTTCCCGCTCTCGTACCCCGCAGCAGCTCCCTCCGAGGACTACTGCGCCTGGTGGTGTGGAGGGGCGCGTATCGACGTGCAATTGAAAAAGGAAAAGACACCCTCGCCGATTCGCACCTTTTTACCGTCCCGTGTTCCTCAGTCAACTGTCGTTTCCTCTCTCTATATAGAGTGCTACTCGACTTCCTTCGATTCTAGTTGTACCCTCAGTCTGATTCAGCTCGCAAGCACTGTCAGCACCCGTATCGACTTCACAATGGCGCCGCACACTGTCAAATGGGGCATCATGGCCACCGGCTGGATCGCCGAGAGTAAGCCCTCCTTTACCACAGGCAAACAAACATTGGCCATTGACGACTGATCACTCCAGCCTTCTGCAAGGATCTCTTGACCAACCCTGCCGCCCGCGATGTGACCGATGTCGCCCACAAGATCGTCGCCGTCTCCTCCTCCCGCGACGCCCAAAAGGCCCGCGACTTCATCAAGAAGATTGACGGCCCCTCGGACGCTGCCACCTACGGCTCGTACGCCGAACTTGTCGCGGACCCCAACGTCGACATCATCTACGTCGCGACTCCGCACAGCCACCACTTCCAGAACGCCATGCTGGCCCTCGATGCCGGCAAGAATGTGCTCTGCGAGAAGGCCCTGACCGTCACCGCCGACCAAACCCGCCGCCTCGTCGAGACCGCTCGCGCCAAGAAGCTCTTCTTCATGGAGGCCGTCTGGACCCGTTACTTCCCCCTCAGCATCAAGATCCGCGAGCTCATCGCTACCGGCGCCATCGGCAAGGTCTGCCGCGCCACCGCCGACCTGTCCTTCAACAACAACACCGAGGACCCCAACAAGCTGTCTTTCCCTGACTCCCATCGCATGGTCAACCCAGAGCTGGCTGGCGGCGCTCTGCTGGATCTGGGCATCTACTCTTTGACGTGGATCTTCCAGACCCTGTACCACCTGCAGGAGGGTGAGAAGGAGTCCCCCCAGGTTCTCGCGGCCGTGCAGAAGTACCCCGTCACCGGCGCCGACGAGTCCACCAGCATGATCCTCAACTTCCCCAAGCACCAGATGACCGGTATCGCGACGACCTCGATGCGCGTGGCAACCGACCCTGATGGCGCTGGCAAGTCTGCACCCGCCATCCGCGTCCAGGGCTCCGAGGGTGAAATCCAGGTCGCCCACCCCGCCTTCAGGCCGCTGTCGTACAAGTTCATCAAGAAGGACGGCACGGTCGAGGCCGTCGACTGCCCCATCCCCACGGACCCGGGCCGCAACAACTGGGGCCACGGTATGTTCTGGGAGGCCGACGAGTGCGCGCGCTGCTTGCGCGACGGCAAACTCGAGAGCTCAACGCTGCCGCTTTCGGAGAGTCTCGTCATCATGGAGACGATGGACAGCGCCATCAAGCAGGGCGGCATCAAGTACCCCGAACTCATCACCACCGACAAGTTTGACCCCAAGAGCCCGCTGAACCTCGGAAACGCCTGAGCCAGTCAAAGTGTAGCAGAGTGGAGCGAAAATGTGTAACTAGATGCAAGACGGCAGATGAGGTACACAAGGTTCGGAGTCGGCGGCCGCCTCCGCGGATCCGGGACCGGCGCCCAGATCCGCCATCTCGGAACGGGACGGAGGCAGCCGTCCAAGAATCTTTCTAATAGATGGAAATAAGCAATTGGCCTACTCCGTCTTCCTTCGTGACCCCAAAGTCGTGTACGTACTCGCCGTAGAAACCTGGCAAGCAAGCAGGAACCGGTTCGTCAGTTTGATTCTACTCTCACACCCACCCCCTGCCGCTATGCATCCCTCCTTCCCGAAGAACCCTGATGAGGCAGGCTTCCTTCCAAAATAACGTCAGCGCCCGGCCAGGCAAGGTGTGGGAACTTGGAAGGAACCATTCGTCCCAAATGAGGCGCTCCGTGCAACTCTGGATCTGCTACAGCTAACACTCTGCGAGCCTCACCTCACCCTACACACTCATGCAATTACCACACGTGGCCTCGGAGACGACTGTGTGACTCGGCCAGCGGTACAGCGCAGACATAATCTCGCCTGGCAGCACAATTCTGGTGCTGATCGGAGATTAAGCAGGTCCCAAGGACTCGGCGGCGCCCTTGGTCTCTTCGACAGTGGTTCCGGCTGCATGTGACGACATGGTCCGACGAGAAAGGAAACGGCGCGATGCAGGGATTAAAGTGACGTCCCTTTTCCTGGTGTAAGTGAAGCGTTACGAATAGAGACTTAATTAACCCAGGGATGCGGAGACCCATCGTTCACCGATCGAAGCAAACATCGGAATCACACACTGATCCCCTGGTTACCACTTGCCCGCCTTGCTCTCTTTCTCCTATTCTGTGTCCCGATGCATCAGGGGGGGAAAGGTGTGTATTTCCCGGAATGGACTCCGGTCAGCAACCTTGCCGTTCGGGGGACGTTCGCAGGAACCCCAAGGAGGGCTACCAAGATCCCTGGTGGCAATCACGCAAGAAATCATCCAGGGTGGTTCTCCATCCGTTCATACCGAGTGATCGGAATTCCAAATTTCGTTTCGAGCCCCGGTCGAGCAATGCAACGTCTACTCTTTCCTGGACGTCTCCTTTTGAAAGCTTTCGTGTCTCGATCTGGGTTGCTCACACGCCGCACCACACACCCCTCTCACCCCTTTTTTTTCCCCCAACCAATCGCCAAAGCGGCTGAAGAGTATGCAGGAGGACCAGGGTGAAAATAAGACGACAAGCAAACACACGATCCATGGGTCGAATGCCGGCGGTTCTCTCAGCCCCTCAAATGCCGCTTCTTCATCAATGCACGAACGAACGAGGGAGGAATGCCGTCATTGGAAGCCGTTGCCGTTCAAACACGGGCACACAACGGGCATTGTTTAGGCGGTAGGTTCGTGATCAAGTACGACCCCGGAGCAATACTCGGCGTACCCCGAGCCGGGGATTAAAGGGCCCTAATCCCGGAACGCAACCCCCGTTCGAGGCGCGCCGTTCGTAGCGCTAGTTCTGAGGTGTGCCGCACCGTACCTATCCGTGCCGCATTGACCATTCTGCGTCGAGGACCCACCGCACACAACGCCTACACGTTTTTTTTTCCTTCTTCCTGTCTTTCCCTACCTACGGATACCTGACCTTACCTACGTTAGTGTCCTCCAGTGTCAGCAGCCAGCGCAAACTGGCGGGTTGGTGCAGTGCAGGAAGGCAGACAGACGCCACAGACGCACGCTCAGACTGGTTCCTTTTCTCCTCTGGCTCCCAGTCGCCTCATCGTCTCTTGGTTCCATCCCACGTCCCTTCTGCAACCACACCCGGCGAAGGAAAACCATCTTCCAAGTCCTGCAGTCCGCGGCGCACGAACCCTCCGCAGTCCACCCATTTTTCTGCGTCCATTTTTGTCTTCGAAACCTGCTCCCTTGCATTAATTATATTGGCACCAAAAGCCTGCGCGCAGCCGCCCGGACGAACAGAACACACGCCCAGACAACGGGCGCTATATTAACGCATACCAACCTTAACGGGACCGCAGACCAGGGCCCTGGCTGAGATTGCACCACCTCACCTCCTCTGCTTCTGTCCCACCCAGGACGGAAACTTGCCTCAGCGTGGGTGTGTGACTACAACACTTCCTTGCCACACTACACCGGCTACTACCTAGACAAGGGGAGAGAGCTTTGTTTTCGCTCTCGCCGCAAACACTGCCCTGTGAAGCTCGACCCTCCTGAAAAGGGAAATCAGCTGTAGCATACCTTGCTGCAACAGCTCTCAGCCCAGAGATTAGCTAGCCGCCCACATGGGAGCGTCATCCGGCCCCCAACCCGGCGCCGGCACGGCCGTGCCCGCCGCCGATCCCCATTCGCCGGAGCCCCCTTCTGCTCTCGGCGACTCCTCCGCCGCCGCCGCAGCCCCGTCATCAACGCCAACAGCCCAAACTCAGACCGACGGTCAGCAGGAAGACGCTGAGTCCTACGAGTCCCGCCACGTCCACACCGTCTACGAGGCCATCGCCCCGCACTTCTCATCCACCCGCTACAAGCCCTGGCCCCTCGTCTCTTCCTTCCTTCTATCCCTCGCCCCGGGCTCCGTCGGCCTCGACGCCGGCTGCGGCAACGGCAAGTACATCGGCGTCAACCCATCCCTCTACATCATCGCCTCAGACCGGAGCGCGAACCTCGTCTCCCTCGCACGGGACTACCAGCCCCCGTTCTACAATGAGAACGCGCCCAAAGGGGCGAAGAAGAAGGGCGGGAGCACAAAGTCCACCACTACCGCTGCCGCTGCTGCGGCTCCCGTCGAGACTGCTGCTCCTCCTCCGCTAGTAGCAACCCCAAAAAACCAGGTGCTAGTCGCCGACTCGCTGGCCCTCCCCTACCGCCCCTCCGCCTTTGACTTTGCCATCTCCATCGCCGTCATCCACCACATGTCAACCCGCGAGCGCCGCCGTGCCGCCGTCGCCGCGTTGCTGTCCTCCGTCCGGCCGGGCGGCCAAGGCCAACAAGGAGGGGGCAAAGTTCTCGTCATGGTCTGGGCCCTCGAGCAGGGGAACAGCCGGCGAGGATGGGACGCCGGCGCGGACCAGGACCAGCTCGTTTCGTGGGTCACCAAGGGCAGCAAGACCACTGACACCGAGGCCGCCACCGAGGAGGATAAGAAGCCCAAGGACACGACCTACCAGCGCTATTACCACCTCTACCGCGAGGGCGAGCTGGAAGAAGACGTCGTGGCTGTGGGCGGCAGAGTTCTCGAGAGCGGCTACGAAAGAGACAACTGGTGGGCCATATTCTGCCGGGACTCATAGTTCAACAAAAATGAAGCAGCAAAAACAAAAGGGAGGGCGTCACATTGGAAATGATAGGACTGGTGACAAAGAGGCAAGGGAAAACAAGTGATCTAGGGACCTGCAATTCTATCATGACCATATCCCATCTCTTCATATCAAGTGACATCTTTCGTTTCTCCTCCCCCTCCCCTCCCCGATACCCAAGGAGACAATACATACAGACGAAGTTTCACCCACGCGGCCACACATACACACACACACCCCCAACCCGACAACACCAAACCCACCGAGCTATTCACCCATGTTTCCTTGTGACACAAAAATAGCAATGACGATAAACTCCCTTGGTTCCATCTCCCCCTTAACCCGTTCCTCACTCCGCCCCCGCCCACCCCACCTGCCGGGTACCGTGGAAACCCAACGGCAAATAAAAAAAAAAAGGTTCGTTTTCTCTTCGCATACGACGTCGCCGGCTCAGAACATGTGTGTTTCGAACATGAGAAAAAGGAGAAATAAAAGTTAAATGACATGAAGTAGAAGAAAAGAGGCGGGGTAGGGGAAGGTAGATGGTGGTGAAGGACACACGAAATTCCTCCTCGCTTGGAGCGAAGGCGGGGCCCGATTACCGAGAATTTTGACTGACTGACGTGGAATTGGGGAAAGCTTGTCAAGCCCGCCGCGTGTGCGTGGTGGTAACGATGTTGTTGTGTATGAGAAGTAAAAAAGATGAAGACAAGATTTTTGCTCCGATCCCGATGCAACATGCCAGTGCTTCCCATTTCTCGTGCCTCTCACAACACCACGAGCAGATGAGAGAAAAAATCAACACAAACCCCGGAAGTTCCCCATGCTATCATGAAAAAGAGGAAAAGGGGGTGCCGCACACGATGGCCATGCCGAACCCCTCTACCCCTTGAAATAAAACAGGTTTTTTTTCCCAACTCCAAGTTCGCCTCACCACCTTTGCTTGCCCTACTGTCATGCCATACGTCGCCTTTCCATCTCCTCCTGACGAGGATCCAAGTGCCGTCGTCGGCTCGTCTCTCGTGCGCCCATCTCGGTACCTGGGCTCGCTCTTCTCTTGGAGCCGGCAGGCTCGTGAGGAGGGTAGTGGAGGGCTGGCAGCAGCGGGCCTGGACTGGCCCTCGCGCTGGGTACGGGGCTAGCTGTAGGCATGCCGCCCATCGCGTACGCTGGGGTGCTGTACGGGCTCACGCCGGTTGTCAGTTCGGCTACTCCCGGAAGCATCCCTGCACCTCGGCCCGGCGGCAGGCCTTGGATCGGAGCCAGGCCGGGGCCGCCCGGCGGTCCAATGCCCGCCAGTTGTACGCCCTCGTTCGGATCCGGACCCATAGGTGGCCGTCCAGGAATGCTCTCACGCCTGGCAGCAATGACTCGGCCGCCGGGGATCGGTGATATGCCGGGAGGCGGTCGGCTGTATCGTGGGGAAGGTCCGCCAATGTCCCGAGGTAAACTGCCCTGGGATTGCGAGTGCATGTGGCCGCGAGAGGGCGAGTGTCGGTGGCTGCCGCCTGGTTGATCGACGTTGACCGCTGTGAGGGAGAAAGGCACCACGCCAGCACGCCGGGCCATGTCCGCTTCGCCCAGCTGCCAGTGCATAGCTTCCGCAGCACGCCAAGGAACTGCCATCTCCTCTGCAACTTTCGCCCACATCTCCGGTTTGAATCTGGACACCAGGTTAGTTCAGCTCTCCGCGTTGTCAGGTGATGGAAGACCGCATTTCTCCCACGATCTCAACGGGGCGATTCGTACCTCTCGTACAACCGTGCGAGCTTGTTCTTGCGCTCCTCGTCCCATTCGCTTCGTCTCTCAAGGTAGTTCTGGTAATGAAGTCGACAGCTGATGGCACTCCGTCCCGGCAGGCGTTTCGAAATGTCCTCCCACTTCATCCCGCTCCCCCGAAGCTCGATGATTAGCGCATCCTCCTCCGGCGACCACTTGCTCTGCTTCTTTGCCGGAGACTCCGCGACGTGCGGCGGCATGGCGCGCTTGCCGCTCGCAGCCAAGCCCGGTGCTACGGGTGGCGGGACATACGGAGGTAGTCCGCTGACAGGCGCCGTGGCCGCCGTGGTTGCGGTTGTGGAGGGGACTGACGAAGATCGAGCGTGTTGAGGAGGAGCAGCGGAGGACTCATCTGAGTCGGGGGCCTTCAGGAGAGACGCGATATCCACGGTGACGGTTTTGCCGCCTAAGTAAGTGGGATACGGCCTTGTGTCATGGGCGCGATAGACGCGCGCCAGCTTTTCGGTTTGCGGAACGCCACCCAGGAGGCGGCCGGATTTTTCTTAAAAATGGAGCTGGAGGGGCGATGGTCGGTGAGATGTTCCGACCTTTCTGAGGGGCGTATCGAATACTCGTGGGCTCGTTGGGAAGTGCTCCCAGCTTCGCAGGCAGAGATCTGGGCAAGGTCGACTCGCTGGAGAAGGCAGCAGGATGGAGTTGGAGATGGACCGGAGAGTCGTTGACGAGTGGGTATTAGTGACAAAGGAGCCCGTAGCTGCGGACGAGAGGAGCAGTGGAGGTATCGTGAGCGTGTTGTATCAGGACAATGGACGGCTCTGGCCTCGTGAGATGGGAAACGTCCCGTGTATCCTGGTGGAGAGTGAAAAGGGGAAAAAGATCTGAAAAGGAAGGAGGACCTGAGCTCAGATCAAGACGGGTGCGTAGCTGGCGGTGTTTTTGAAGGAAGTCATCAACATGATTGGGCCAGTCCGAGAGGCTGGTGACCAATGATCGGGGAAATGAGCTTGCCTGGTGATGAGGCAAGCAGGCAGGCAGGCAGGCAGGCAGGCAGGCAGGCGGGCAGGGCAGGGCAGGACGGGAGGGCGTCGGCGTAAGTATACGTCAGTCAAACTAGGCTGCTAGAAGTCTTCATCAGAAAGCGAAGCTTTGCCAGAGTCATCGTTCTCCTACGGAAAGTCGGTAGAGGCCAACGAAACAAGGTACAAGCCAGTCTACGTCGGGAACTTGCGGTGCTGCAGATTGTGAATGGAAGAGAAAAGAATTAAAATGGACCAAGGAAGCAGTAGTTGGAGGGACGGTGATGGGTTGAAGAGGTAGTGGAGGTAGAGAGGTAGAGGTGGGGGACGGAGACCGGGGTCTGATTAACAAAGTGACAGCCAGGGCCAGAAAGACTTCTCTTAAACTGACGAGAGGAAAGTCATCGAAGAAGAAACGAGAGGAGACTTGAGTGGGAGCAAGGGAGGGGCGTGTGGAAGGGCGTGAGTTGAGGAAAGAAAAAAAGAAGAAGACGGCGGGATGAGGTTGACGAGCCCAGCGGCGGCACCACAGCGGCAGCAACCCAGCAAGCAGTCCAGCAGGAGCGCGTGAGAGTATGTGTGAGAGAGGGCCACCGAGGCTGTGGAGAAGGGAAAGAGACGACGAGGAGCGGTAGCGTAGCGTGTGTGTGTGTGCGTGTGTGGTGTGTATGGTAGGTATGTGTGTGTGCGTGTGTGCGCTGTGTGAAAAGAGGTTTAAGAAGAAGAAGGAGAAGTGTGTGTGGTGTGTGCTGCTGTGTGTTTGGCAAGGGCAAAGGTTGGGTAGGTTTTGGAAAGCAGTTCCCAGCGTGAGAAGAGCAGAAACACCAGCAGCAGTCAGTAGCAGCAGCGGCAGCGGCAGCAGTAGCAGACAATACGGTAGCTAGCCGGCAGACGCAGTGGTAGCTCCAGTAAGAGTGTACGTAGCAATAGGGCAGAGCATATATGTCAAGGTCGCATATAGGGAGGTACTGCGTGAATGCTGGTAGATGATGGGATCTTGTTGGTGCCGCCGGTCCCTTGCCTTGCCTGGGCCAACCCGTCTTTTGCCCTGCCCTCATTGAAGAATGCGATGCGGTGGAGGTGGTCGAATAAGGCTCAGGAAGTTGACCTCACCCAGGCATAGTTTGGGAACCTACATGGATGGGCTAGTTGAGCACATGTTTGAAAGACACACGCCCCCCCTTCCCGCTGCGCACACACAGACACCAGGTGGCTTCCATGCTTTCTTTTCCAACACACACCCCCCTGCCCAATGCCTTGTCTAGCGGCAGGCCTGGTGCTGATGTTCTCCCGCACGTCGACACCCTGGACGCTGTAGCTTAAGAGGGGTCTTGAATAGGAGACGGGGACGGTGAGAGATTGAGAGAAATGCAATGAGAGGAAAATACCAAAGAGACTGCCTAATTTGTTGGACACTGCAATCCCATGAGCAACCAATACTCTAGCTGCTGGTAGTGTGAGTACAAAGTCATGCAAGTGGCATTTGCGCCGTAGTCGAATAGACAGTCCGCCGCCCATGGCCAACGCGTGTAATGCGAAGCCCAAGCCAAATTCACTGGTGGGCCTGGCTGGCTGGATGACAGCTCCGAAAGACGGAATCCGAGAAACGCAGACAATGGGATTTGCCTGGATAAGGGTATGTTCGTGTCCGTGTCTGATGGGCAGGCTTGGTCACAGCTCCTCGCAGGTCGCAGGGCATCAGTTCCGAGTTGGAGGCGGGTGAAAATCTCATCAATGTGGGCGGGAAAAGTTCAGAGACAGATGGAGGAGGGGGGGGGGGGGGGGGAAACGAGAGGTCGTCAAAGGTGCAGGGCCCATCCATCTTCCCAGAACCCGACAGGGCCGAGCGACTGGCGGCGAGAGTGTGTTTAGGGCAAGACAAGCGTAGCGTGGGAGAGAGGAGAGACTGCGTGGGCGGGATGTGGTGGGAAAAGACGCAGGTGTCACAAAACCGCATACGGGTGCTGTGGAGTCTTTGTTTGAAACCTGCGGTTGCTGATGCAGTGAAGAGTCGAGTGGACTTTGGCTACTAGGTAGGTTGGTTGGTAGGCAAGCTTGGTGGGTTGTCTTGTGTCTTGTGGATGGGATCCTCCTCGCGCCCGGCTGACGATCTGGCTGGCAGCTGGCGGGGGGAAACCTCGCAACGTTGATTCTTATGACTCTCCGGAGGCGACGGGTAGCTTCGTACTCGCGGTCCCGTGGTTGGTTGGTGCCCTGAATCCGGCACGCGGTCGTAGAAGTCAAAAAGCGAAAGTATGACGGCGCGCATAGTCGAGCAGCGAAGAAGGCGAGAGCTAAGAAACACCTAACGAACCGGAGACTGGGACACCGGCGGGAGCTGTCGAACAAGAGGGATGGGCCAGTCGGCCGAGGGGGAAGAACGCCAGTAGGCTCGCGAGGGTTTCGATGCTTGTTGGTGGCCGGGAGGACAAGCTTGAGGAACCGAACCTGAAGAGAAGGTGAGCTGCGCGCTGAGGCCTTGATGCCACCGCTGTTGATGTTGTGGTTGTTGCAGCTGCTGCTCCGCCATTTGGGTGCTTCCTGCTTGCTTCGCTTTGGTTTGGATGGTCCCGCCGTTACCAGTGCCTGAGCCTGTACGGATGATACCTGCGCCTGTGCGTGTTTTGGCAGCTTGCTGAACTAGGCGGTACCAATCCCCATCTCAATCCCAATCCCAAATGCGCATGCCGTTCGATGCCGATCCTAACGACGGGGCCCTGCTCGATCAAGCAATCAGGCTGCATGTCTGTCCTTGTGTTGTCTTGGGCGGCTCCTCTTCTGCGGGTTAGCGCCTGGAGCCACTGACACTCGACGGTGCGATTCGGTTTGATGAGCTGAGCTGGGCAGTCTGAAAAAAGCGCCGGCAGTGCACTTGAGTGCTGTGCTCTGCATATGGCAGCGGCAACGGCAGCGGGAGAACAAGAAGGAAGAACAGTTGCAGTGAGCCCCGACGTCTGTGCGGTTGACAATGGGCGGCGTAAGATGAGGCTTGTCTCGACAAGGCCGGACAGCCAACAAACCACGTTGACAATGCGCCACTGCCGAGCGAGTCGTCGAGAGCCGTCGACAGTCCACAGGACGGGCTGAAAGGGCTGGGTTGGCTCGAGAAACATTCATCAATGCCCTTCATGCTCTCATCGAAATTTTCTGTACACGTCCCAGTTCGACGAGCCTTGGAACATCCATGACCTTGGCCACAAGCCAGGGACAGCCCTCACGAAGCCGGTCTGTCTTGTCTTGTGTTGTCTTGAGGAGGGGGCCTGCTCGCTCGCCCTTCCGCTGCGTTGTCCGGTCCTTGGCCTGCCCTGCTTCTTCTCTGTCTGTTTTTTTTTGTTTTTTTTTTGTGATGCTTTTCGGCTTGGCCCTTGGTCTGATGATGAACTGGCGGTCAGATATGCAGCGCAGCGCAGCTTGCAGCGTCCAGCGTCTGTCCAGCAGAAAGAAGTTCCAGGACCGGGGCGGTAACGTTTTTCCCGTGGCGGCAATCCAGGTTGCGAGCTTGTGCAGAGACCTGGCTGCATCAAGTTGCCATGAACCATGATCGCCATGCAAGCCTGGGACATGCTTGCTGGGTGCTGTGTTGGCTAGCGGCTTTTCCAGCAGCCCTTTTTTTGCGGTCGTCGCATCCTTGAAGCTTGCTGTTCCCTTTTGCCGCACCACCATCACCCATGATGATCAACCCAGAACCACCCACCATGTGGACAGGGCGGCGGCCACGACGTCTTCCTGGTGGTTCGGTGTCCGCAAGCCACATATGGCTTGATTGGGCCGTTTGACGTTTGTCTGTTGTCTCCCGAAGCCTTGAACTGCATCAGCCACACGGTATCGGTGCCTGACATGACGACGGGGCGGTACATAAGGGAGCAACTAAGGCCAGCGAAAGGGAAAAGAAGTAATATCGCGGCCATTCGGGTTCGAAGGCGTGTACAAGGAGAGACACTCTGTTGTACAACAGCACCGATAGCGAGGACGCGGAGCTCTTTTGGGTCTTTGGAACCGACATGCAAGATTGAAAATTGGCTGCTGGGACGGAATCGTCTTCCCCGGGGACAGGTTCCCAGTAGGGCGATGTACCTCAAGAGCGGCGCGGTGTGAGATTAGAAAATCGATATTTTCTCACTTGTTCTGTCGTTGTTTCTTTTTCTTTTTTGCTTCCTTCCTCCCTCCCAAATCTAGAGCACCTTCCGAGTAAATGTCCCGATAGGCAGGCAAGGACTAGACCT